CTTGGTCACTGCCTTCTTCATGCCACTATCCGAACTTGTGCTTATCTGCAGTTACAGCACTCACCATTGTGTAGTATTTATGTTTACATACTTTTCTCTCACAATCTGTACTGTAAAGTACTTGAGGATATGCTCATTTATTTTTATGTCCATAATAACAAGATCTGGCATGGGATGATTGTCCAGTGAGTGTTGATTGCACTAATAAGATTCAGATGATTTCTCCTGTAATTCTTATGTTTTCTGTCTTGGATCTCTTTTCAGCAGGGTTTTTCATCTGCCTTTTGCAGGTACTTGTGTTTTCAGAGTTTTGTAGTTCCAGAAAAGGGTATTTTGTTAAGAGCTGACTAACAATAGATACATTGTTCATTCTTTATGCTTCACCTTTTTCATTTGTTAAGTGAGAAGTGGGACTGGGTGACTTCTTGGGTGGTGGTCCCGCTGTCAGGGTTTGTGAACGTATATGACAGTTGAGGGCAAAAGGAAGACACAATTTTTCCCTGCAAAAGGAAAACACAGTTTTTCTCTTTACATATGTAAAGAATTGGGAGACCTTGGTTGAGTTAAGTTCTGCAAAGTTTGGTATTTTGTGATTATTAGTGTTGGTAATTTTGTTGTTGGTTTACTGTACTAGTTACCTGTTAGATTTCCTTTAAGTAAGACCTTCCTTAACCATGCAGAGATGGTCTGTGAAGAGAGTTTGTTAGCAAGGAGCCTTTTATTTTCTCAGAGGCTCTTCCTGACTCTCTTTTTTCTTGTTGCTTTTCTATCTTGATTGACCGACCCTTCAAAGAAGCTGTTTTTCAGAGGAGATAGTGGTTAATATAGGATGGATCCTACTTTCCTTCATAAAAAGTTGGTTTAAAAGAAAATTACATGTTTGCCAGTTTATTAAACTTTACAGACCACAAAATGTAATAATATTTCGTATAACTACTAAAGAAAAATTCTTGTTAAAAAAAGAATTAAATGCAAGAGGGGGTTATTTTTGAAAATGCTTGTTACTGGGTTTATTATAACTGAAAAGTGACTCAAATTAATCTGTTTAAAATTTCTTATGAAAACTTTCAAACATTTATAAAAACCTCTATACACTTAAAAAAACAAAAAAAACCCTCTATACACTTAACGAAAGCTCTGTACTCTTAAATTTAATAATTTCATATATACTTAAGTTTAATGATTATTAGTATTTTACTGCTTTTTTGGGGGGGGGGCAGGGTTACCACAGTATTTTAAACAAATTCTGGCTGTTAACATCTCAAGCCTAAATACCTGAGCTTGCATTTCTGATAAACAAAAAAAGGGTAATTTTATTTGCAGAATCATGACACCATTGTCACTTAATAAAACCAAGACTAATTCTTCAATAATCTGATATTTCGTCTATTGAAATCTTCACAGTTACAGTCCTGATTTTTAGTTGGTTTGTTCAGTTTGTGCATTGCATGCGGCTGTTGTATCCAGGTCATCTTAATCTTAACAGTGCCTCCACCACTTCCTTTTTATTATGCCATTTACTTGTTGAAAAGACCAGGTCGTTGTCCAGTGGAATGTCCCGTATTGATATTTCTGGTATGTAGTTCCTGTAAATTTGGAGTTGGATTTAAGGGCTTGAAGATTCAGGTTTCAGTATTTTTTTGGTAAAAATACTGCATAGATAGAATTGTGTCACATCAGGTGTGGATAACGTCTGGTTGTCCAACTTCTAGTGATGTTAAGTTGATTGGTGATGACCGCCTCATCCCTCCCGTGAAAAGTTGCATAAGTATGAGTGCATTTATGGTAATATGTGTGAGGGAAAAGGTCAGAAAGAAAATAACGTTAGCAGTCATTAGCTCTACTTTAGGATGCTTTTGTTTTTACTTTTCTGTGTTTTCCAAGATTTCTGCAATGAACACTCAGTGCTTTTAATGGTAAGAGAAAAAAATTATTTTGTTATTAGACTCAGTACTTTGAGAGATTATATCAAAAGTTTCATTTGTCCTACCTGTAATACTTTGTTTTATTTTTTATTAATAACTTAAGCCTTTTATACAGGTTGAAGTCTTTTTTTTTTTTTTTAATAATAAAGCAGTTATATCAGGTCCATAGAAAACAAGTCTGTAACTATACGGTAGCAGTTCAGAAATCAAGGCATATAAGGACAAGTAGAAAATCATGTTTGTTTGAAAGCAGATCTAATTTATAACTTAACTGTACATACATGTGTTTTCATTGGGCTCTTACTGTTAGGATCAATTGGTGGTCTCTTGTGAGAGTGTGGTAGATTAGTTTGGGGTATTTATTTCTCAGAGAATGGGCCCTGCCCATAGACTGTATTAGAGGCAAGTAGGTCTAAGCAGCGTGTAAGTTCACAGGATCCCTCTTCGTCCAGACAGTGCTGAGGGTTCAGTGGTGGGCACCTTGCTGGCTAGCCAATATATACATACTGATGATTAGCTAGTCACAATGTGGAAGCCTCCTCTTTAAACACGATAGGTTTTAGACTTTTAAGGTCGCAGAGACTTGGAGACAGTGGCTGATTTGGGCCATGTCAAGCAGAAGTAGCCAGTTGAGAGAGAACAGGGAGAGGAAAGCAGGCAAGAGAGGTCTTGTGGTTCCAGTATCAGTTTCTCTTGAATGCAGCCTTCTGTGAGGCCAGCTGTACCTCATGTCCTGTGTCACTGAGATTGCTTTCATCTTTATAATCAATGCTTAAGTGTGATTTTATTCTTCATAATAAAATGCCTTGCTTAAATAAAATTAGACTTCAACATTTATGAGACTGTGTTCAACTTTATGACTGTGACACATTTCACTTTATAAAAATAACCTCAACTAATGTCTTAAATTTTTATAAATACCATTTTTGATGCCGTGTCATTAATATACCATAGTTCTTTTTAAAATTTATTTGTTTTTTTGCGGTACGTGGGCCTCTCACTGTTATGGCCTCTCCCGCCGCGGAGCACAGGCTCCGGACGCGCAGGCCCAGCAGCCATGGCTCACGGGCCCAGCCGCTCCGCGGCACATGGGATCCTCCCGGACCGGGGCACGAACCCGCATCCCCTGCATCGGCAGGCGGACTCTCAACCACTGCGCCACCAGGGAAGCCCTAAAATTTATTTATTTTTTTAAATATTATTTTATTTTTGGCTGCATTGGGTCTTCATTGCTGCGCACGGGCTTTCTCTAGTTGTGGCGAGCAGGGGCTACTCTTTGTTGCGGAGCACGGGCCCTAGGCACGCAGGCTGCAGTAGTTGTGGCATGTGGACTCAGTAGTTGTGGCTTGCGGGTTCTAGAGCACAGGCTCAGTAGTTGTGGCGCAGAGGCTTAGTTCTGCGGCATGTGAGATCTTCCCGGACCAGGGATCGAACCCGTGTCCCCTGCGTTGACAGGCGGATTCTTAGCCACTGTGCCACCAGGGAAGTCCCAATATACCATAGTTTGCTTAGCTACTTTTCTCTGGCATTTGGGGAGTTCTCTAGGATAGTTACCTTGAATATTTGGTACTGTTTTCAAAATTCAGGTTTAAATGAATGAGATGTTTAGTTACTTATGTTTAAGCTTTTAAAGGATGTGATTGGATTCAGTGGCCATTTAAAAAAATAGTTATGTTAAAGACTTGTTAATATGAGGGAGCTTTAAAGTACTAATTTGTAATATAAATTGACAGATTTCTTATGGGCCTACATTTTGACAGCCTTTCATTTTGTAGCTATATACTTCCATATATATCTACTCATCCATATATATTTATACGTGTGTGTGTGTATATATATATACATACATATTTTTATTTTGGTACTTGGATAATCTGGCATGAATTGGAGTGACTGCTATACCTTTAAAAGTATAGAGCACCTTTACATCATGGAGTGTGTTTTCTGTTTTCTCTATGAACAGATTTTACTTTCATAGCTTATAGGGGAAGATGAATCCCTTGGTTTTGTTTTCTAAGTACTGTTCCTACTGCCAAAAATCTCAGTAACAGCATCTTCAAAAGATAGCTTTTTCTGAATCTTTTCAGTCCCCACCCCTCCACTTTAAAAATAAAAGATTTTCTGAACAAATTAAGGTAATATGAATTCACGTTTAAAAGTCCCTTCTGATTATAAAACCAGTGCTTAATGTAGAAAGTTGAAAAAGCATAGAACAGTATAAAGCAAATAAAAATTACTCAATCCTACCACCTATAAATAACCAGTTTCTTTAAAAAAAAAAAATTATTTATTTATTTTGGCTGCGCCAGGTCTTAGTTGCGGCATACAGACTCCTTAGTTGTGGCATGTGAACTCTTAGTTGCGGCATGCATGCGGGGTCTAGTTCCCTGACCAGGGGTCAAACCCAGGTCCCCCTGCATTGGGAGCACAGAGTCTTACCCACTGGACCACCCGGGAAGTCCCTAAATAATCACTGTTAACAGTTGATTATTTTTTCTGTGTATGACTCTTTTATATCCTGTATTTTTAAGTTAATGTTATTGTGATAATTTTCCCATGTTATAAGTATTTTGCTTATAATCTAACAGGAGCTTTAGATCTGTAAATGGTGCTAAAAACATTTATTTCAGGTTCTCCCGAAGATATCCATTTCTCTTTTATTCTTTCCCATCTTGCCTACCTAGATTTTAAAAAGTAAACTCTTCAGATATGGAACACTTACTTCTGTTTTAACAAAGGTGTTAATTTAAGCATATTTAATGTTTAATCCTGAGTGCTAGCATGAAAAAAAAATTTTTTTATGTGTGTGTACATCTTATTTTCCTCTAGAAAGTTACACAGTGGAAGGACATAAGATTTATATAAAAATATTACAAATCAAAATGTTTCATTTCTGAGTGAAGACAGTGTTGTTTATACTCTCCCACTTGTTTTCAGGACTGTGTCACAAAGATTGTTTAGGTCAGAGTGAGCAGTCTGTGCATCAAAAGGTCAGAAAAAGTACTTCTAAAATGGTTAGTAGCTTTATACAAAATGTCAGTGAGGCTGTGATCATCTAGGATTGAATTACCGGCCATGTTACCATGGAATAGTAGGTGTTTTCTAGTTAAGGCAGTAAGTAAAGTTGTTCATAAATGTCACATACTTTGAGGGCTGAGAGGAGTCTTAGAGATGGTTTTGTGTACTGAGCTAGAGTGGAGGGTTAGACTGGGCTGGAGAAGTGAAATGATTTGCTCAAGGTCAGTCACCTTGTTGATGGTGTTAGATTGTGAGCCTCTAACTCAGCACACTGCATTATGCTTTTTTTTTTTTAACATCTTTATTGGGGTATAATTGCTTTACAATGGTGTGTTAGTTTCTGCTTTACATTATGCTTTTTACAGAAGTCAGTACCTACACCATCAATAGCAGACCACCACCCCACCCCACGCCCCCGCCCCCTGCCCCCGTCCCCCTCCCCCATAGGAAGGTGATGGATGAGTATTTAACTTTGTGCTCAGAACACTGCTGCATTAACTGAAAGTGCTGAAAAGGAAGGAAAAGACATGGTTCCTGCCTGTTGGTTACTTTTAACTATAACTTTAAGCCCCTGGAGTGGGAAAACTTTTTTTTTTTTTTTTTTAAATGATGACACACTACTATGTTAAGTGGAGTTTGGACATTTTTTCATGATACATTTTGAAATTCTTTGTTGATTATGTAATGTGGATAAACAAGGGCAGTGAAGCAGTTTAAGAAATCAAAGCTTTCCTTAAATAATAGAAGGTTTAAATAAAATAGGCAAGTTTGGCTTTTGTATTAATCTCAGGGTCCATACTTTTGTAAGGTTAATGAAAGCTTATAAAAAGATATGTTTAGTGCTTTAATAAGTAAACCATCTTGAATAGAAATGACTCATTTTGTTTCCCTGAAAGTGGTCTTCTGTTTATTTTTACATTAATGTTTGTACAATAATATTTATTCAGTACCTACTATGCCAGGGATTGTCCAGCTGGGGATACAGCTGCAAATAGAACAGAGACCCAGTCTTCATGGAGCTTACATTCGCTCAAGTCTGAGATTTCGGTGTGTTTGGGAAAAATATACAGTAAATAAATTAAGGTAACTTCATCTTTAAAATTTGTAATGAAGATGTTTTAGGGCTTTCTTTGATGTAAAACATAAAAACTGTTTTCTTGGTGTTTGATACTTGTTTCCAGAAATAGTCATCCTGTGGAACCAAGGGAAATACAATAAAATATCCAATAGAAATCCTTTTCTTATATTACTGATTCGACTACAGTTTCACTTTAACACTGCAGAAATCCGCCTGGAATGGCTTATGAATTAGGAAATAAATATAGCTTAGGTATTTGCATAAAATGCATAGAGAATTTATGAGAGTTCAGGCTCTGGAGGCAGACCTGACTTCCCACCTTCATGGCTTTGTGCTTGTCTGACCTTGGACAAGTATTCTAACTTCTGACTCAGAGTTGACTCATCTGTAAAATGAGGGTAAGTTATAAAAGTATCAGCCTCATAGGCTTGTTATTAGGGTTAGTGACATAATTCACGCAAAGTTCTTGATACATGGTGAGTGTCCAGTAAAGGCTAGATTGTAAAAACTTCTGTTATCACTATTTTTACCCTTACTGCTGCTGCCATGCTACTATTACTGTGGGAGTTCTTAGTAGATATTCTGTATACTGTACAGCATATAATTCAGATGTGTGATTAAGTTAACGTAGCAAGACATATTCAGCAACATAACCCTTTGTTACTGGCAAACTGTTTAATCAGCGATGCAGCCGTTAATTTGCTAACACCTGTGGAAACATTGAAGTAGTCATCGCTGACTTCACGACAACTGCATTATTTATATATTTGAGCTGAGCATCCAGCCTGCCTCATTAGGATTTTTACCTGTTCTGTTTCAGTACAGATAGGATGGAGGAGTGAAAATATCATGCTGGGGTAAATGATTTATGAATACCTAGAGTCATAGCAGAATGTACATACTTCTGATTTTTTTTTTTTTTTTTGCGGTACGCGGGCCTCTCACTGTTGTGGCCCCTCCCGTTGCGGAGCACAGGCTCTGGATGCGCAGGCTCAGCAGCCATGGTTCACCGGCCCAGCTGCTCCGCGGCATGTGGGATCCTCCCGCACCGGGGCACGAACCCGCGTCCCCTGCATCGGCAGGCGGACTCTCAACCACTGCGCCACCAGGGAAGCCCTACTTCTGATATTTTTTTGTTGTTATTGCATGTTGACTAAGAACAATCCATGTGATTGCTTAGCCATACTCAGGTTAAGGCCAGTGTGAACTACTCCAGTTCATTCAGGGATGAGCTGGTTTCTTCTCAGGGAGCTTATAGTTAGTGGGTGATTTAAGACATACATAAATAATAAAGTGAGACGTATGGGGAGAGAGGTAGGGACACTGTGCTATGGTAGTTGTATGGTCACCCTTGTTTCTCCTCAGAGATGCATGCTTTGGTTCATTGCACTTTCTGCTGTTATCCTCCCGAGGTCACTAACTCGGTCTGTACCCCATAGCCAAGAACTCAGAGCTTGTCCAGAACCGGAGAGTCTGAAAGGTGAGCCTGCTTCAGTGTTAGTGCTGTAGAAGACATGGGACTCCTGGGTTTAGAGACAAAGGATGTTATTCTCAGGGCACTGCAGGCAGCAACTTCATAGTTGTGTTGGTTTCCTTTGCCCCTCAGATTCCATGGGGGCAACGCAAAGGGGTTCAGTGCAGGTGGGTGCTGCCCACCTGGTGGGTTTGTGTCATAGCTGAGAAACCTTGAGTCTAGGGCCTCTGAATCTTTTGTGATGGGCTGCACAGAAACCTGCCTGACCTTTTTCCAGAGGAGGACCTGAGCATTATCACACTGGACAGTAAACAAACCTGCCCTCTCCTCAAGAGGGAGATGCTAAAAGTCAGATGCAAGACTGTTCACTATGTAGTAGATCCTTGAAAAGACAGTCTGTATGAAAGCCTCCAGGGCCTCCACTGGCAAAAGGTGCAGAAATGCTAGAGACCCATGGAGACTTGTCTCCCAACAGACCTCCGGGTTGCTGGTCTAAACGATGCTACGGAGTTCATGAGTTAACATTGGTGCACATAGCCTGTTTATTCTTGAGTTGCATCCCAGAGGCCTTTTCTATTTCTGAAATGCTCCATGCTATATTCAGGACCACTTATCCTGAAATAAAATTTGATTCTCTTCTTAGTAAGCAGATACTGTTGAACTCAAGTTGATATACATGCAGAGGTGTTGTAGGAGTCTTCAGTTACTTTGGAATGCATCAAAATAAGATGGATGGATGGCCAGAGATGGCTCGGTAGATTGATAGGTCTCAAAGTAAGTAACAGCAAAGTGTTAATTGTAGAGTCTAGGTTATGGGTGTATAATCATAATTGTTCACTGTTCAGTTTCTTTGAAGTTTTTCAAAATGCTGGGGGAAAAGCCAAGTGCTCTCCCCTTATTTTCCCCAAGTCAGTTTTCTTTGCAACTTAACAAAGCCTGGCATTTCAAGAAAACTTAAACGGCAGTTTACATCAAAATAGGTGTATATGATAACCGTTTAAGAAACTGTTTAGTCGGAGTGGTTCTACTTTTAGCTGTTTTTAGCTTAATTGTGTTCCTTTTAAGAGTGGGAGGTTTGGGGAACTATTTAAAAAGAAATCATTGCTCTAAATTTTTTTAAAAATTTATTTTTAATTTATTTATTTTTGGCTGCGTTGGGTCTTCGTTGCTGTGCGCTTTCTATAGTTGCGGCGAATGGGGGCTACTCTTCGCTCCGGTGTGTGGGCTTCTCATTGTGGTGGCTTCTCTTGTTGCAGAGCACAGGCTGTAGGCGCACGGGCTTTAGTAGTTGTGGCACATGGGCTTCAGTAGTTGTGGCTTGCGGGCTCTAGAGCGCAGGCTCAGTAGTTGTGGCGCACAGGCTTAGTTGCCCTGCGGCATGTGGGATCTTCTTGGACCAGGGCTCGATCCTGTGTCCCCTGCATTGGCAGGCGGATTCTTAACCACTGCGCCACCAGGGAAGTCCTGCTCTAAATTTTAGGTATACAGCATTTCATGCCAGAAATATATATTTAGGTAAAGGAGTCAGGCTAGTCTCACTTAGGACATACTTCTGGGTGAGTTGCCCTAAACTTTTCCTACATTTTTGAAGTTTCAAGTTTTTTCCAAACATTTTGATACAGGGACCGTATTTATGTATGTTACATTTCCATCTGTTAGAATTTGGGACTGAGAATAGGACTTTGGCTTACTGGGAATGATAATGTAGTAGTGCTAGGGTAGAATACTTAGTGACAGGAGGTGGCGTGGGAGATTGAAGGAGGGCAGCCTGTGTAATTAAAAGGTGGAGCTTTAAAATTTAATTTAATTTTGTTTTTTCAGTAAAAGTTCAAGTAAATGTTATCTGTATTGTGTGGAGTTTTGTTTTATATGGTATATTTTTACATATGAACAGTGAAATTTCATCTGTGAAGTAGGAAGTATCAGGTGGTACCTGTGGTTGGTGAGTAGTTTACAATCAAGTAATCATAAAATGGACTGTTGTAGTGATTGTTTCTAAATGATAAACTAAGCATTTATATTGGACAAATGGCAGGATTTTCTTCAATTACAGGGATTAAGTTTTAGAAATCCTCAAAACGTGAGTATTTATTTCCTATATAAGTTGCTTCGAATGTTTCACTTTTTCATCAAAACACTGCTTTTCACTTTTCTTTGTTTTTTTTTTTTTTTTTAAGCTTACACCAAGGGTCAGCTTTTCTTAAAAACAAAAACAATCTTTACCGTTTTTCATAAAAGAAAAATATGTACAGTTTAAAGAATTATCAAGAAGTTAGTAGCTCTGCAGTCACTGCTCAGGTTCAGAAATAGCACTTGTGTGTTGCAAAGCTCACCTAGTACTTTCTCCCTGCAAAGTTAACTCCTCTTTTTTATGGTAACCATTTACTTGTTTTTCTTAATGGTTTAAACACCTAAGCATCGCAGGGGATGTTAGTAAAGCAGGAGATTTTTGGTATAATGCAGTGGTTTTTAACCTTATTTGACACGATAATCCCATTTTGATATTTTGTAATGCCCATTTTTCCATCCTGAAATGAAATTCATATATAAAATTACATACCAACATACACAGTTAAAATTTTTTAATATAATGCCCTAACTGTAACATAAAGGAGAAGAAAGTGAATTTGTGATGAAATATGCATTTCAGTGTGTAAATGTTTGGGCATGACGCTAGTAGAAGACTAATGAATTAGCCAGATCCCTGTAACCTACTTAAATAAATGAGTTTGGATTTAAGGGAAGTTAAGGGAGGAGTTATCTGATAGAGGGTTTTCTCTAACATTTTGAAATAAGGGCAAGAGAATATTTATGCATGTGGGTAGAATCATGTGAATGTGTCACCCATACATGTGTGCTGACTGGACCAGATGTTTGTAGGAATTTAAGTGTCCTGAGTGACATTGCTGTTGGTAGAATAATTTTCTGTAATGGTGAACTCACCTTTCAGAGTTTTAGGG